TGACCACGGGCGAGAACGTCTCTGTGTAGTCGATGCCGTACTTCTGCTTGAAGCCCTTGGCAACGAGACGCGCCTTGTATTTCTCGACCGATCCATCCGCTTTGCGCTTGATCTTGAACACCCACTTGGTGCCGATCGCGCCTTGGCCTCTTGGCAGTTTTGCCGCACGGAAAACTCCACGAAGATGCATCGACTTGAGTTCCGCCTTCACAGCATTTCGCCAGTGAGTTTGATCAGGACCATTGATCGCGTCTTGAAAAGTCACAGGTTCTGCTAGGTCCGTTGCTTCCACAGCGTTTGCACTTGCACGCCAAAATGTTGGAGGCGTCGAGTCGTCATCTTGATCGTACACGCTTGCATCTTCTTCGTCATCAGACATCGTTTCTGGAGCACTTGATCGTCGTTTCTGGTGACGGTTGGAGACGTGTTCCGGCGCACTTGCTTGTTCCAACCCAGTTCGAGGGCGAGCTGACCGTGACATGCCGGGTCTTGCTTCACTCTTGCGCTTGCCAGTCTGCTTGTAGACGGTTTGACGCACGTCGTCCTCGTTGATCGCCAGGAGGTCGAGGTCCAACTCCGCATCTTCATCATCGTCACTTGGTCGGTCCATCGAAAAGTCAAAAGTCGATTCGTCGAAGGTGATGTCACGACTGATCACCACTTGGCCCGCCTCAATGTCGTACACTCGATAAGCTTTTGACGCTTCTTCGTAGCCCATGAACATCCCTTCACAAGCCTTCGGGTCCCACTTCAATCGCTTCTCCCTTGGTGTCAGGATAAACGCCCGACATCCAAACACGCGCATGTGCTTGACACTTGGTTTCGACTTGTACACGATCTCGAACGGAGTCTTGTGGTCGATCTTGGGTGAAGGCAGGCGGTTCTTGATGTAGATCGCCGTCATTGCCGCTTCAGCCCAGAAACACTTCTCCAGCTTTGCATGATGCAACAAGCTGCGTCCGATCGTGACGATGGTCCTTATCGCGCGTTCTGCGGTGCCGTTGGTCTGGTGTGCATACGGCACCGTTGTCTGCTGTTCAATGCCTTCGTCTTCGTAGAACAGTTGAAGCGAGTTGGTTGCAAACTCGCGAGCTCCGTCGTGTCGCACGAACTTGACCTTCTTACTGTTGAATGGTGAAAAGCTTGACGACCGAAACTGGGAGTGATGCTGGGAGTCTACTCGGAAGACCGGATAAGACACTTGGGGGGGTAGATGGAAGATTGGAAAGTGATTGATTATCGGGGCTTACTACTTACTACATGATTTATATGTGGTGCACATATAAATCATGTGAAGCGTCTCATCATCCTACGCGTCTAATCAACTATGGTAATTACCGTAAGAACTACGTCGTAAATACTAAGCTGAACAGGCGGTTCGGATTGGACCGGTCACGGTTACCAATACTGGTAGAAACCGATGACCGTCAACACGCCCCTCAATCCGAACTCGCACGAATGCCGAGAGCCGTCGTCAAGTCCTTGTGACGAGGTCCCGAAAGTCCCTTGGTCATGATGTCCGCCATCATCACGGAAGTCTCGCAATACTCGAGCTGCACTTCCCGCGCTTGACCTCATCACGGATGTGATGGTACTTGATGTCGATGTGCTTGGCGCGGCCATGATTCACCGGATTCTTCGTCATCTTGATGCACGACTGGTTGTCTTCACGGATGACGAGGTCCGGTCCTGGTTCGTTTGCGGCCGCCAAAATCTCGCATAGCAGGCGATGCACCCACTTGCCTTCCTGGATGGCCAGACTCAGTGCGATGTATTCCGCTTCACTCGTCGACAGCGACACACTTGACTGCTTCTTGCTTCCCCAACTCACAGGAGCACCCATCAGCATGAAAGTGTAACCCGAAGTCGACTTGCGATCAGCGTGGTCGCCGGCCCAGTCCGCGTCCGAGTAGCCACGAAAGTCGATCTTGTCGCTTGGCTGGAAGCGGAGTCCGTGCGACTTGGTCCCTTGCAAGTAACGAAAGATGCGCTTCACCGCCGTCCAATGTTCTTGCTGCGGATTCTCCATGAAGCGCGAGACGTACCCCACACCATACGCAATGTCCGGGCGCGTCGCAGTCGTCAAGTGCATCAAAGCTCCCACAGCTTCACGAAACGGAACGTCGATCTTGGCCGCTTCGGTGCTTGCGACAAGCCGAGTGCTCAAGTCGACCGGACTTGCTGTGGCCTTGCACGCATCCATGCCGAAGCGCTTGAGGATGTCGTTGACATACCGTCGCTGGCACATTGTCACGCTGCCATCCGATTCGTCCACCAGTTCGATGCCCAGTACAAAAGTACACTTGCCACTGTCGGTCATCTCGAAACGCGTCTTGAGGTCGGCCTTCGTCTGCGCAATCAACTCAAGCGAGCTGCCGGTGACCAACACGTCATCCACGTAGACCAGCACGAGCACACAGTGACCGTCGACAACCTTGATGTAGAGACATGGGTCGAACGCCGACGCTTCGAAACCGATGGAGCATACGAACTCGTCGAAAGTCTCGTTCCACACACGTGAAGCTTGCTTGAGACCGTAGATCGCCTTCACCAACTCGAGACAGTCGAAGTCGCCATCCATCTCGACGCCTTCTGGTATCACGCAGTACACCTTCTCCTTCATCACTCCGTAGAGAAAGGCTGTCACCACATCGAGTTGGTCCAGTGGCCAGTCGAAATACTTGGTGATCGCGATCACCATACGCAGTGTCACGTACTTGACCACGGGCGAGAACGTCTCTGTGTAGTCGATGCCGTACTTCTGCTTGAAGCCCTTGGCAACGAGACGCGCCTTGTATTTCTCGACCGATCCATCCGCTTTGCGCTTGATCTTGAACACCCACTTGGTGCCGATCGCGCCTTGGCCTCTTGGCAGTTTTGCCGCACGGAAAACTCCACGAAGATGCATCGACTTGAGTTCCGCCTTCACAGCATTTCGCCAGTGAGTTTGATCAGGACCATTGATCGCGTCTTGAAAAGTCACAGGTTCTGCTAGGTCCGTTGCTTCCACTGCGTTTGCACTTGCACGCCAAAATGTTGGAGGCGTCGAGTCGTCATCTTGATCGTACACGCTTGCATCTTCTTCGTCATCAGACATCGTTTCTGGAGCACTTGATCGTCGTTTCTGGTTGATGAACTTTAGACTTCTTGGTCCGAGTGCAAAACGCAAAGTGAATATATATTTATAATAGGTACTTAGTTCGCAACTTTGAATACTACCTCTAAGCCTATTATTCGCAGTGACGTCATCCAGTGACGTCACCCACTGACGTCACCCACTGACGTCATGCAATGACGTCATCCAGTGACGTCATTTCCTGACTTCGCCCTTACTGGTACATACCGGTACCCACCGGTATAGCGAAGCTTGGTCTTCCACTTGCTTCAACACTTGACGCAGCTTGACGAGGTGTCTTCTTCACAGCCGCTGTCTTTTCAACACTCCCTCTCGACTCGTTAGCTGCGGCACCTTGGATCCCAAGTCGATCGCGAATGTTTTCAAATTGTACAGCGGCGATCGGCTTGGTCATCATGTCTGCCAGCATATCTTGAGTCGGGCAATACTCCAAAACGACTTCACCTGATTCCACCTTCTCACGCACAAAATGGTAGCGTATGTCGATGTGTTTTGTTCTCTTATGGAACTCCGGGTTCTTGGCGAGAGCGATTGATCCTTGGTTGTCTTCATACATCTTGATCGCTTCGTCGCTTGTCATCTCACCAAGTTCCCCCAAAAGCACCTTGAGCCATACTGCTTCTTTGGTTGCTTCGGAAAGCGCCATGTATTCTGCTTCTGTTGAAGATAGCGCGACCGTCCGTTGTTTCTGGCTTTTCCAGCTGATGCATCCTCCGCTCATCATGAACACATAGCCGCTTGTACTTCGTCTTGACTCAACGTCGCCGGCCCAGTCTGCGTCGGTGTACCCGCAGATACGGCTTCCTTCTTCACGTGTAAACTCAAGACCATGATTGGGCGTTGCTTGCAGGTATCTCAGCACACGCTTCAAAGCTTGCCAGTGAGTCGGGCATGGGTCGGACGAGAACTGGGATAATGATCCCACTGCAGCAGCTAGATCCGGACGTGTGGCGACCATGAGATACATGATGCCTCCGACAGCACTTCGATATGGCACGTTGCACATGGTGTCTTCGTGCTTGCATTCTTGTTCACACATGTTCTTGGTTAGCTTCAGGCCGGGATCTTGAGGCGTCTTCACTGGCTTGCTGTTATCCATTCCGAACTTGGTTAACACGGACTTGAGAAACTTGGTTTGTTGTACAGTCACCATTCCCGTCTTACGGTCGTTCTTGATCTCCATGCCGAGAAAGTAATCGAGCTCACCGAGATCCGTCATTTCGAAGCGTTTGCTCAGCGCCATCTTGGTTGACTTGAGGAGTTCGTTGTTGCTGCTGGCCAGGATGAGATCATCGACGTAGAGCACGACGAGAATCATGTCTTGGTCGTCTCGCTTGATGTAGATGCAGTGGTCCGATTCGCACTTCTTGAATCCCATCTTGATCATGAACCCATCGATTGTTTGGTTCCACATGCGAGGCGATTGCTTCAAGCCGTAGAGTGATCTCTTTAGCTTGCACACATAGTCCGGCTGTGTTGCATCCAGGTATCCGTCCGGCTGGTCCATGTAGATGTCTTCGTTGAGGGAGCCGTTAAGAAACGCTGTCTTGACGTCCATCTGATGTAGCATTAGGCCGTACTTGGCCGCCATACTGAGCACCACACGAATCGATGTGAACTTGGCCACCGGTGCGAAAGTTTCTTCATAGTCAACTCCGAATTTCTGTGAGAATCCTTTGGCCACAAGTCTTGCCTTGAAACGTTCAACTTCGCCATCTTGATTCTCCTTTACACGAAAAACCCATCGGCACCCGATGGCCTTGCGACCTTTCGGAAGAGGCACGATTTCCCACGTGTCGTTTCTCTGAAGCGAATCGAACTCCGAGTCACACGCTTCTTTCCACTTGCCGGAGTCGCTTGATTCCATCGCCGACTTGAATGTAGTCGGCGTTTCCCCCACTGAATCAACGATGTAGGCTGCTTCAAAATCCATTGCAGCCGCTGACACATGCTCAAGCGACGGACCTCTGTATGTTCTTCGCTTGGAACTTGGAATGACGGTAGCTTTCTCAAGTGATTGAGTGCGCGTGTGTCTCTTGATGTTGCTCTTCGAAGACCTGGTGTCTTCGTTGTCATCGTCGCTCGAGTCCATGTCGTCGTCAGTTTTACCTTCTTCTTTTTCTTCGTCCTCATCATGATCATCAAACTCAACGACACTTGACTCATCGTTGTAGTTGCGCGGACCTTCATCAAACTTGTCTTCCATGAATGTGGCATCGCGACTGATCTTGATCGCTCCTGTTGACACTTCCTCAAATCGATATGACTTCTGGTGTTCGGCGTATCCCAGGAAACGACAGAGTGATGACTTGGAGTCGAACTTCGCGCGTTTGTCTTGAGGCACTTGAACATACGCGTGGCATCCAAACACTTTAAGGTTGGCCAGAATCGGTTTCTTCATCGTCCACACTTGATATGGAGACTTGTCTTGGTGAATGGCACGTGTTGGACAGCGGTTTCGAAGAAACATCGCCGTCATCACTGCTTCACCCCAGTAGCTCTTTCCCAGTCCAGCGTGTTCCATCATGCAACGCGCACACTCGACCAGCGTGCGATTCATTCTCTCAGCTACTCCGTTTAGCTGAGGAGTATATGGGGGTGTGAACCTTTGTTGTATTCCCCGTTCCGCGCAGAATCGTGCCAGCTTGTCGGACTTGTATTCACCCCCATTGTCGCTTTGAAGGTACTTCACGCGCTTTCCGGTTTGCGTTTCGGCCATTGCAGCGTATTCCATGAACTTCGCCGCAACTTCAGATTTGCTCTTGAGCAGATAGACGACACAGTATCTTGACTTGTCATCAATGAATGTCACGAAGTACCGTTTTCCACTGAAAGTTGCCATCGACATCGGTCCGCATACGTCGCTGTGAATCACTTCGAGGAGTTTGGAGGTGCGAGCTGTAGTGTTTGATTGGAAGCGCACTCGAGTCTGTTTTCCCAGAGCACAACCTTCACACACGTCCCACTTCTTCACCGAAGATATGTCGATGCCAATTCCAATGTTCTTCGTCACGATGCAATTGAGTCCATCGTGACCTATGTGGCCAAGCCGAAGGTGCCAGAGGTACGACTTGGTGCCCCCTTGACATCCCGACGACTTGGCTGCATTTGCTTGTTCCGGCGCCACTGGAGTCATTTGCAGCTTGAACAGTCCTTTACCTTCACGGGCACCAATTTTCCACTTGGTCCCTTTCGCTTTTCCATAGCACCCATCCTTCGTGAACGTCACTGGGCCGACATCCTTGGTGAAGCGGCCGACCGAGAACAGGTTTCTGGATAACTTTGGGATGTGCCACACGTTTGTGAGCACACCTTTCTTCATCCCTTGGGGTGTCTTCATCGACATGACAATGTCCCCACTGCCGATTGCTTGGACGATTCCATCATCCGCGAGATGGACATCCACAGCGTCAAACCCCTTGTAGTTCCGCATGAACTTCTTGGAGCACGTCATGTGCTGCGTCGCCCCGGAGTCGACCAGCCAGATGTCGCTCGATTTCGCAGATGTCGTTTCACCGATCGAAAAGAGGTAGTCGCCCGAGTCTTCTTCTTGAGCGACGTTTGCACGTTGTGATCGATAGCGGTCGCCGCTGTCTTGAGCACGCTGTGGCCGGTGTCTCTCCGTGTTTTCTTGGATGCGCGAGGGGCACTCCGCCATCCAGTGACCAATCTTTCCGCAATTGTGGCACGGCCAGGACTTCTTCACTGGTCGCCCTTTGCGCTGATTGTCCCTTGTGATGAACGCTTGACCTTGCGAAGCTTCATCACCTTTACTTCCTTGCTCCCTCCGCTTCAATTCTTCATGAAGCAGTCGAGACGTCACGAGCTCCCAGCTAAGAGTGTCTGAGCGCGACTCCAAAGCTGTGATCAAGAATTGATACGAGTCACTCAGGCTGCCGAGAAGTGTGATCACCAGATCGTCCTCGCAGACTGGAGCCCCCACCGCTTCTAGCTGTTCCGCCAGCGTCTTGAGCTTGTTGATGTGTTCGAGTACATCGTCGCCTTCTTCCATCATTGTCGTGAAGAAGCGACGGCGCAAGAACAGCTTGTTGGCAAGACTCTTCTTCTCGAAGTGGTCTTCCAACCTTGACCATGCGTCGCATGCACCACTTGCCGACCGGACCAACGGTAGCTGGGAATCTTCCATGGCTAGACAGATCACTGCCATCGCCTTTCTTGACTTCCTCTTGTACGTCGCTTGGTCCAACTGAGTCTCGCACTGTTCCGCCTTGATCTCACCGCTGACGACCTCCCATAGGTCCCGTTCCTCCAGCACCATCTGCATCTTGAACTTCCAGGCGTGGAAGTTAGTTCCATCGAACTTGGAGATGCGGAGGGAGGAGGCGTCCATGGCAGCTAAGCTTGAATTGTTGGCGGTTTCAGAGTCTGACGAACTTGGGCTCATAACCTGATGAACTTTAGACTTCTTGGTCCGAGTGCAAAACGCAAAGTGAATATATATTTATAATAGGTACTTAGTTCGCAACTTTGAATACTACCTCTAAGCCTATTATTCGTAGTGACGTCATCCAGTGACGTCACCCACTGACGTCACCCACTGACGTCATGCAATGACGTCATCCAGTGACGTCATTTCCTGACTTCGCCCTTACTGGTACATACCGGTACCCACCGGTATAGCGAAGCTTGGTCTTCCACTTGCTTCAACACTTGACGCAGCTTGACGAGGTGTCTTCTTCACAGCCGCTGTCTTTTCAACACTGGTGACGGTTGGAGACGTGTTCCGGCGCACTTGCTTGTTCCAACCCAGTTCGAGGGCGAGCTGACCGTGACATGCCGGGTCTTGCTTCACTCTTGCGCTTGCCAGTCTGCTTGTAGACGGTTTGACGCACGTCGTCCTCGTTGATCGCCAGGAGGTCGAGGTCCAACTCCGCATCTTCATCATCGTCACTTGGTCGGTCCATCGAAAAGTCAAAAGTCGATTCGTCGAAGGTGATGTCACGACTGATCACCACTTGGCCCGCCTCAATGTCGTACACTCGATAAGCTTTTGACGCTTCTTCGTAGCCCATGAACATCCCTTCACAAGCCTTCGGGTCCCACTTCAATCGCTTCTCCCTTGGTGTCAGGATAAACGCCCGACATCCAAACACGCGCATGTGCTTGACACTTGGTTTCGACTTGTACACGATCTCGAACGGAGTCTTGTGGTCGATCTTGGGTGAAGGCAGGCGGTTCTTGATGTAGATCGCCGTCATTGCCGCTTCAGCCCAGAAACACTTCTCCAGCTTTGCATGATGCAACAAGCTGCGTCCGATCGTGACGATGGTCCTTATCGCGCGTTCTGCGGTGCCGTTGGTCTGGTGTGCATACGGCACCGTTGTCTGCTGTTCAATGCCTTCGTCTTCGTAGAACAGTTGAAGCGAGTTGGTTGCAAACTCGCGAGCTCCGTCGTGTCGCACGAACTTGACCTTCTTACTGTTGAATGGTGAAAAGCTTGACGACCGAAACTGGGAGTGATGCTGGGAGTCTACTCGGAAGACCGGATAAGACACTTGGGGGGTAGATGGAAGATTGGAAAGTGATTGATTATCGGGGCTTACTACTTACTACATGATTTATATGTGGTGCACATATAAATCATGTGAAGCGTCTCATCATCCTACGCGTCTAATCAACTATGGTAATTACCGTAAGAACTACGTCGTAAATACTAAGCTGAACAGGCGGTTCGGATTGGACCGGTCACGGTTACCAATACTGGTAGAAACCGATGACCGTCAACACGCCCCCTCAATCCGAACTCGCACGAATGCCGAGAGCCGTCGTCAAGTCCTTGTGACGAGGTCCCGAAAGTCCCTTGGTCATGATGTCCGCCATCATCACGGAAGTCTCGCAATACTCGAGCTGCACTTCCCCGCGCTTGACCTCATCACGGATGTGATGGTACTTGATGTCGATGTGCTTGGCGCGGCCATGATTCACCGGATTCTTCGTCATCTTGATGCACGACTGGTTGTCTTCACGGATGACGAGGTCCGGTCCTGGTTCGTTTGCGGCCGCCAAAATCTCGCATAGCAGGCGATGCACCCACTTGCCTTCCTGGATGGCCAGACTCAGTGCGATGTATTCCGCTTCACTCGTCGACAGCGACACACTTGACTGCTTCTTGCTTCCCCAACTCACAGGAGCACCCATCAGCATGAAAGTGTAACCCGAAGTCGACTTGCGATCAGCGTGGTCGCCGGCCCAGTCCGCGTCCGAGTAGCCACGAAAGTCGATCTTGTCGCTTGGCTGGAAGCGGAGTCCGTGCGACTTGGTCCCTTGCAAGTAACGAAAGATGCGCTTCACCGCCGTCCAATGTTCTTGCTGCGGATTCTCCATGAAGCGCGAGACGTACCCCACAGCATACGCAATGTCCGGGCGCGTCGCAGTCGTCAAGTGCATCAAAGCTCCCACAGCTTCACGAAACGGAACGTCGATCTTGGCCGCTTCGGTGCTTGCGACAAGCCGAGTGCTCAAGTCGACCGGACTTGCTGTGGCCTTGCACTCATCCATGCCGAAGCGCTTGAGGATGTCGTTGACATACCGTCGCTGGCACATTGTCACGCTGCCATCCGATTCGTCCACCAGTTCGATGCCCAGTACAAAAGTACACTTGCCACTGTCGGTCATCTCGAAACGCGTCTTGAGGTCGGCCTTCGTCTGCGCAATCAACTCGAGCGAGCTGCCGGTGACCAACACGTCATCCACGTAGACCAGCACGAGCACACAGTGACCGTCGACAACCTTGATGTAGAGACATGGGTCGAACGCCGACGCTTCGAAACCGATGGAGCATACGAACTCGTCGAAAGTCTCGTTCCACACACGTGAAGCTTGCTTGAGACCGTAGATCGCCTTCACCAACTCGAGACAGTCGAAGTCGCCATCCATCTCGACGCCTTCTGGTATCACGCAGTACACCTTCTCCTTCATCACTCCGTAGAGAAAGGCTGTCACCACATCGAGTTGGTCCAGTGGCCAGTCGAAATACTTGGTGATCGCGATCACCATACGCAGTGTCACGTACTTGACCACGGGCGAGAACGTCTCTGTGTAGTCGATGCCGTACTTCTGCTTGAAGCCCTTGGCAACGAGACGCGCCTTGTATTTCTCGACCGATCCATCCGCTTTGCGCTTGATCTTGAACACCCACTTGGTGCCGATCGCGCCTTGGCCTCTTGGCAGTTTTGCCGCACGGAAAACTCCACGAAGATGCATCGACTTGAGTTCCGCCTTCACAGCATTTCGCCAGTGAGTTTGATCAGGACCATTGATCGCGTCTTGAAAAGTCACAGGTTCTGCTAGGTCCGTTGCTTCCACTGCGTTTGCACTTGCACGCCAAAATGTTGGAGGCGTCGAGTCGTCATCTTGATCGTACACGCTTGCATCTTCTTCGTCATCAGACATCGTTTCTGGAGCACTTGATCGTCGTTTCTGGTGACGGTTGGAGACGTGTTCCGGCGCACTTGCTTGTTCCAACCCAGTTCGAGGGCGAGCTGACCGTGACATGCCGGGTCTTGCTTCACTCTTGCGCTTGCCAGTCTGCTTGTAGACGGTTTGACGCACGTCGTCCTCGTTGATCGCCAGGAGGTCGAGGTCCAACTCCGCATCTTCATCATCGTCACTTGGTCGGTCCATCGAAAAGTCAAAAGTCGATTCGTCGAAGGTGATGTCACGACTGATCACCACTTGGCCCGCCTCAATGTCGTACACTCGATAAGCTTTTGACGCTTCTTCGTAGCCCATGAACATCCCTTCACAAGCCTTCGGGTCCCACTTCAATCGCTTCTCCCTTGGTGTCAGGATAAACGCCCGACATCCAAACACGCGCATGTGCTTGACACTTGGTTTCGACTTGTACACGATCTCGAACGGAGTCTTGTGGTCGATCTTGGGTGAAGGCAGGCGGTTCTTGATGTAGATCGCCGTCATTGCCGCTTCAGCCCAGAAACACTTCTCCAGCTTTGCATGATGCAACAAGCTGCGTCCGATCGTGACGATGGTCCTTATCGCGCGTTCTGCGGTGCCGTTGGTCTGGTGTGCATACGGCACCGTGATCTGTTGTTCAATACCATGATCTTCGTAGAAGGTCTTGATGGAGTTGGTCGCAAACTCATGCGCTCCATCGTGCCGAACAAACTTGATCTTCGTGCCGAACTGAGTTTGAATCTTGATAATGTGGTTCTTGATACAGTCTTCACTCTCAGACTTGGACCGCAGACAGAAGCCCTTCATGCAACCGCTGGCTTCGTCAACCACAAGCAGTAAGTATCTGCTGCCGCCGATCGAAACTTGTTCCATTGGCCCGCAGATGTCGAAGTGCAGCAACTCGAACACACCATATTGGCGTTTGTCACGGTTGGTTGGGAATGGTTTTGAACCATCTTTCCTTGCTGGCAACCGCGACACACACTTGGACCAGTCGAGTTGAGAGGTGCCTTGGCGTCCTTGATCATGCCAGTGGCCACCATCTTGCGCAGAACTTCGAGGGGTGCATGACCCATGCGCGCATGCAAGTCGATGGTCCCATTGCGTGTTGCTGCATTTGCCGATCGTTGAGGAGTCCGCAGCCAGTAAAGTCCATCGACGAGATCCGCTGTTGCCACGACTTGTGTGGAATTCTTGCGCTTCACTTGCATCTTGGATCCATCGAACACGACTTGGAACCTGCCACCCTTGTTGATCTGTGGCACCGAAAGCAGATTCTTGCTCATACTTGGTACGAACAGTGCGTCCTTGATCTCGATGTCGAGTTCGTCACCATTGGGCAGAACCACCCGTTCCATGATGGTTCCCACACCCTTGATCGCAGCCTTGCTGCCATCAGCCACTGATAGTTCGCCTTCCTCTCGCTCATTCAGGCTTGCAAACTTGGCCTTGTCGTTGCAGATGTGATGCGTCGCACCGCTGTCGACTGCCCACATCCCTGGCATATTCTTGCCCGTCGAAAGTCCAGCCTCCAGCGAAACCGCGAACGCAACTCGATCGTAGTTGTCATCGTAGTTGCTGTTGGTTCGCCACTGAACGTTGTTGGCTCCGCGTCCACGAGCATTGTTGCCGCCGCGTCGAGCTCCACCTTGATTTTCGTCCTTCTGCTTGGTCCAGCACCGCTCCGCCGTGTGCCCCAATTTTCCGCAGTATGTACACTGGCGAGGTTCACGCTTGGCACTGAACGCCTTCGCCGCGTCTTCAGTCTTCACCGATGTCGTCTTGTCACCTTGTCTCTTGATGTGCTCATTCGTGAGCACTCTCACGACGTCTCGCGATCGCAGTTCCGCGCTGCTCATCTCCAAGTTGAGAACGACGTTCTCGTAGCTCTTGGGGAGGCTGCGCAACAAGCAGATCGCCACGTCCTCGTCCTCCATCTTGGCGCCGATGCTGCTGAGCTTCGCGCTGATGTTGAGGACTTCGTTGCAATGATGCATCACATTGCCGCCTTCCGCCATCTCCATGCTGAACAGCTGGCGCTTCAAGTAGATGCGTCCAGCCTTCTGCGACCCGCCGTACAGCGTCTTCAAACGCGCCCACGCGACCCACGCCTCTTCACAGTCATCAACCACGTGATGATAATCCGCGCTCATGTGCAGCAGCATCAAGCCGAACGCAATGTTGTTCGTCTTGATGTAGTCGTCACTGGCGCGAGGATTGGCGAAGGTGGGGGTGGTCTCCCGGTTCACCACGTGCCACGCCGACTTGGTCAGGAACACGCCACGCATGTAGCGGCTCCACGTCGCGTAGTTGTCGCCGTCGAACTTGTCGATGGAGATCTTGGTGGTGGCATCATGAGCAGAGGACTGTTGAAAAGACAGCGGCTGTGAAGAAGACACCTCGTCAAGCTGCGTCAAGTGCTAAATCAAGTGGAAGACCAAGCTTCGCTATACCGGTGGGTACCGGTATGTACCAGTAAGGGCGAAGTCAGGAAATGACGTCATTGGATGACGTCAGTGGGTGACGTCACTGGATGACGTCAGTGGGTGACGTCACTGGATGACGTCACTGCGAATAATAGGCTTAGAGGTAGTATTCAAAGTTGCGAACTAAGTACCTATTATAAATATATATTCACTTTGCGTTTTGCACTCGGACCAAGAAGTCTAAAGTTCATCAGGTTATGAGCCCAAGTTCGTCAGACTCTGAAACCGCCAACAATTCAAGCTTAGCTGCCATGGACGCCTCCTCCCTCCGCATCTCCAAGTTCGATGGAACTAACTTCCACGCCTGGAAGTTCAAGATGCAGATGGTGCTGGAGGAACGGGACCTATGGGAGGTCGTCAGCGGTGAGATCAAGGCGGAACAGTGCGAGACTCAGTTGGACCAAGCGACGTACAAGAGGAAGTCAAGAAAGGCGATGGCAGTGATCTGTCTAGCCATGGAAGATTCCCAGCTACCGTTGGTCCGGTCGACAAGTGGTGCATGCGACGCATGGTCAAGGTTGGAAGACCACTTCGAGAAGAAGAGTCTTGCCAACAAGCTGTTCTTGCGCCGTCGCTTCTTCACGACAATGATGGAAGAAGGCGACGATGTGCTCGAACACATCAACAAGCTCAAGACGCTGGCGGAACAGCTAGAAGCGGTGGGGGCTCCAGTCTGCGAGGACGATCTGGTGATCACACTCCTCGGCAGCCTGAGTGACTCGTATCAATTCTTGATCACAGCTTTGGAGTCGCGCTCAGACACTCTTAGCTGGGAGCTCGTGACGTCTCGACTGCTTCATGAAGAAATGAAGCGGAAGGAGCAAGGAAGTAAAGGTGATGAAGCTTCGCAAGGTCAAGCGTTCATCACAAGGGACAATCAGCGCAAAGGGCGACCAGTGAAGAAGTCCTGGCCGTGCCACAATTGCGGAAAGATTGGTCACTGGATGGCGGAGTGCCCCTCGCGCATCCAAGAAAACACGGAGGGACACCGGCCACAGCGCGCTCAAGACAGTGGCGACCGTTATCGATCACAACGTGCAAACGTCGCTCAAGAAGAAGACTCGGGCGACTACCTCTTTTCGATCGGTGAAACGACATCTGCGAAATCGAGCGACATCTGGCTGGTCGACTCCGGGGCGACGCAGCACATGACGTGCTCCAAGAAGTTCATGCGGAACTACAAGGGATGAAGGGGGTAAGGGGGGAGAAGGAAAAGGCAAATTAAACTTTTTGGGGCCGCTTCACCAAGGATTTCGACCCAGTGACGTTCACGACCCCGCGAGGGATGGGTGCTATGGTGAAGCGAAAGGGACCAAGTGGAAAATTGGTGCCCGTGAAGTTAAAGGACTGTTCAAGCTGCAAATGACTCCAGTGGCGCCGGAACAAGCAAATGCAGCCAAGTCGTCGGGATGAAGGGGGGACCAAGTCGTACCTCTGGCACCTTCGGCTTGGCCACATAGGTCACGATGGACTCAATTGCATCGTGACGAAGAACATTGGAATTGGCATCGACATATCTTCGGTGAAGAAGTGGGACGTGTGTGAAGGTTGTGCTCTGGGAAAACAGACTCGAGTGCGCTTCCAATCAAACACTACAGCTCACACCTCCAAACTCCTCGAAGTGATTCACAGTGACGTATGCGGACCGATGTCGATGGCAACTTTCAGTGGAAAACGGTACTTCGTGACATTCATTGATGACAAGTCAAGATACTGTGTCGTCTATCTGCTCAAGAGCAAATCTGAAGTTGCGGCGAAGTTCATGGAATACGCTGCGATGGCCGAAACGCAAACCGGAAAGCGCGTGAAGTACCTTCAAAGCGACAATGGGGGTGAATACAAGTCCGACAAGCTGGCACGATTCTGCGCGGAACGGGGGAATACAACAAAGGTTCACCCCCCATATACTCCTCAGCTAAACGGAGTAGCTGAGAGAATGAATCGCACGCTGGTCGAGTGTGCGCGTTGCATGATGGAACACGCTGGACTGGGAAAGAGCTACTGGGGTGAAGCAGTGATGACGGCGATGTTTCTTCGAAACCGCTGTCCAACACGTGCCATTCACCAAGACAAGTCTCCATATCAAGTGTGGACGATGAAGAAACCGATTCTGGCCAACCTTAAAGTGTTTGGATGCCACGCGTATGTTCAAGTGCCTCAAGACAAACGCGCGAAGTTCGACTCCAAGTCATCACTCTGTCGTTTACTGGGATACGCCGAACACCAGAAGTCATATCGATTTGAGGAAGTGTCAACAGGAGCGATCAAGATCAGTCGCGATGCCACATTCATGGAAGACAAGTTTGATGAAGGTCCGCGCAACTACAACGATGAGTCAAGTGTCGTTGAGTTTGATGATCATGATGAGGACGAAGAAAAAGAAGAAGGTAAAACTGACGACGACATGGACTCGAGCGACGATGACAACGAAGACACCAGGTCTTCAAAGAGCAACATCAAGAGACACACGCGCACTCAATCACTTGAGAAAGCTACCGTCATTCCAAGTCCCAAGCGAAGAACATACAGAGGTCCGTCGCTTGAGCATGTGTCAGCGGCTGCAATGGATTTTGAAGCAGCCTACATCGTTGATTCAGTGGGGGAAACGCCGACTACATTCAAGTTGATGAACTTTAGACTTCTTGGTCCGAGTGCAAAACGCAAAGTGAATATATATTTATAATAGGTACTTAGTTCGCAACTTTGAATACTACCTCTAAGCCTATTATTCGCAGTGACGTCACCCACTGACGTCATGCAATGACGTCATCCAGTGACGTCATTTCCTGACTTCGCCCTTACTGGTACATACCGGTACCCACTGGTATAGCGAAGCTTGGTCTTCCACTTGCTTCAACACTTGACGCAGCTTGACGAGGTGTCTTCTTCACAGCCGCTGTCTTTTCAACACTCCCTCTCGACTCGTTAGCTGCGGCACCTTGGATCCCAAGTCGATCGCGAATGTTTTCAAATTGTACAGCGGCGATCGGCTTGGTCATCATGTCTGCCAGCATATCTTGAGTCGGGCAATACTCCAAAACGACTTCACCTGATTCCACCTTCTCACGCACAAAATGGTAGCGTATGTCGATGTGTTTTGTTCTCTTATGGAACTCCGGGTTCTTGGCGAGAGCGATTGATCCTTGGTTGTCTTCATACATCTTGATCGCTTCGTCGCTTGTCATCTCACCAAGTTCCCCCAAAAGCACTTTGAGCCATACTGCTTCTTTGGTTGCTTCGGAAAGCGCCATGTATTCTGCTTCTGTTGAAGATAGCGCGACCGTCCGTTGTTTCTGGCTTTTCCAGCTGATGCATCCTCCGCTCATCATGAACACATAGCCGCTTGTACTTCGTCTTGACTCAATGTCGCCGGCCCAGTCTGCGTCGGTGTACCCGCAGATACGGCTTCCTTCTGCACGTGTAAACTCAAGACCATGATTGGGCGTTGCTTGCAGGTATCTCAGCACACGCTTCAAAGCTTGCCAGTGAGTCGGGCATGGGTCGGACGAGAACTGGGATAATGATCCCACTGCAGCAGCTAGATCCGGACGTGTGGCGACCATGAGATACATGATGCCTCCGACAGCACTTCGATATGGCACGTTGCACATGGTGTCTTCGTGCTTGCATTCTTGTTCACACATGTTCTTGGTTAGCTTCAGGCCGGGATCTTGAGGCGTCTTCACTGGCTTGCTGTTATCCATTCCGAACTTGGTTAACACGGACTTGAGAAACTTGGTTTGTTGCACAGTCACCATTCCCGTCTTACGGTCGTTCTTGATCTCCATGCCGAGAAAGTAATCGAGCTCACCGAGATCCGTCATTTCGAAGCGTTTGCTCAGCGCCATCTTGGTTGACTTGAGGAGTTCGTTGTTGCTGCTGGCCAGGATGAGATCATCGACGTAGAGCACCACGAGAATCATGTCTTGGTCGTCTCGCTTGATGTAGATGCAGTGGTCCGATTCGCACTTCTTGAATCCCATCTTGATCATGAACCCATCGATTGTTTGGTTCCACATGCGAGGCGATTGCTTCAAGCCGTAGAGTGATCTCTTTAGCTTGCACACATAGTCCGGCTGTGTTGCATCCAGGTATCCGTCCGGCTGGTCCATGTAGATGTCTTCGTTGAGGGAGCCGTTAAGAAACGCTGTCTTGACGTCCATCTGATGTAGCATTAGGCCGTACTTAGCCGCCATACTGAGCACCACACGAATCGATGTGAACTTGGCCACCGGTGCGAAAGTTTCTTCATAGTCAACTCCGAATTTCTGTGAGAATCCTTTGGCCACAAGTCTTGCCTTGAAACGTTCAACTTCGCCATCTTGATTCTCCTTTACACGAAAAACCCATCGGCACCCGATGGCCTTGCGACCTTTCGGAAGAGGCACGATTTCCCACGTGTCGTTTCTCTGAAGCGAATCGAACTCCGAGTCACACGCTTCTTTCCACTTGCCGGAGTCGCTTGATTCCATCGCCGACTTGAATGTAGTCGGCGTTTCCCCCACTGAATCAACGATGTAGGCTGCTTCAAAATCCATTGCAGCCGCTGACACATGCTCAAGCGACGGACATCTGTACGTTCTTCGCTTGGGACTTGGAATGAAGGTAGCTTTCTCAAGTGATTGAGTGCGCGTGTGTCTCTTGATGTTGCTCTTCGAAGACCTGGTGTCTTCGTTGTCATCGTCGCTCGAGTCCATGTCGTCGTCAGTTTTACCTTCTTCTTTTTCTTCGTCCTCATCATGATCATCAAACTCAACGACACTTGACTCATCGTTGTAGTTGCGCGGACCTTCATCAAACTTGTCTTCCATGAATGTGGCATCGCGACTGATCTTGATCGCTCCTGTTGACACTTCCTCAAATCGATATGACTTCTGGTGTTCGGCGTATCCCAGGAAACGACAGAGTGATGACTTGGAGTCGAACTTCGCGCGTTTGTCTTGAGGCGCTTGAACATACGCGTGGCATCCAAACACTTTAAGGTTGGCCAGAATCGGTTTCTTCATCGTCCACACTTGATATGGAGACTTGTCTTGGTGAATGGCACGTGTTGGACAGCGGTTTCGAAGAAACATCGCCGTCATCACTGCTTCACCCCAGTAGCTCTTTCCCAGTCCAGCGTGTTCCATCATGCAACGCGCACACTCGACCAGCGTGCGATTCATTCTCTCAGCTACTCCGTTTAGCTGAGGAGTATATGGGGGTGTGAACCTTTGTTGTATTCCCCGTTCCGCGCAGAATCGTGCCAGCTTGTCGGACTTGTATTCACCCCCATTGTCGCTTTGAAGGTACTTCACGCGCTTTCCGGTTTGCGTTTCGGCCATCGCAGCGTATTCCATGAACTTCGCCGCAACTTCAGATTTGCTCTTGAGCAGATAGACGACACAGTATCTTGACTTGTCATCAATGAATGTCACGAAGTACCGTTTTCCACTGAAAGTTGCCATCGACATCGGTCCGCATACGTCGCTGTGAATCACTTCGAGGAGTTTGGAGGTGCGAGCTGTAGTGTTTGATTGGAAGCGCACTCGAGTCTGTTTTCCCAGAGCACAACCTTCACACACGTCCCACTTCTTCACCGAAGATATGTCGATGCCAATTCCAATGTTCTTCGTCACGATGCAATTGAGTCCATCGTGACCTATGTGGCCAAGCCGAAGGTGCCAGAGGTACGACTTGGTGCCCCCTTGACATCCCGACGACTTGGCTGTATTTGCTTGTTCCGGCGCCACTGGAGTCATTTGCAGCTTGAACAGTCCTTTACCTTCACGGGCACCAATTTTCCACTTGGTCCCTTTCGCTTCTCCATAGCACCCATCCTTCGTGAACGTCACTGGGCCGACATCCTTGGTGAAGCGGCCGACCGAGAACAGGTTTCTGGATAACTTTGGGATGTGCCACACGTTTGTGAGCACACCTTTCTTCATCCCTTGGGGTGTCTTCATCGACATGACAATGTCCCCACTGCCGATTGCTTGGACGATTCCATCATCCGCGAGATGGACATCCACAGCGTCAAACCCCTTGTAGTTCCGCATGAACTTCTTGGAGCACGTCATGTGCTGCGTCGCCCCGGAGTCGACCAGCCAGATGTCGCTCGATTTCGCAGATGTCGTTTCACCGATCGAAAAGAGGTAGTCGCCCGAGTCTTCTTCTTGAGCGACGTTTGCACGTTGTGATCTATAGCGGTCGCCGCTGTCTTGAGCACGCTGTGGCCGGTGTCTCTCCGTGTTTTCTTGGATGCGCGAGGGGCACTCCGCCATCCAGTGACCAATCTTTCCGCAATTGTGGCACGGCCAGGACTTCTTCACTGGTCGCCCTTTGCGCTGATTGTCCCTTGTGATGAACGCTTGACCTTGCGAAGCTTCATCACCTTTACTTCCTTGCTCCCTCCGCTTCAATTCTTCATGAAGCAGTCGAGACGTCACGAGCTCCCAGCTAAGAGTGTCTGAGCGCGACTCCAAAGCTGTGATCAAGAATTGATACGAGTCACTCAGGCTGCCGAGGAGTGTGATCACCAGATCGTCCTCGCAGACTGGAGCCCCCACCGCTTCTAGCTGTTCCGCCAGCGTCTTGAGCTTGTTGATGTGTTCGAGCACATCGTCGCCTTCTTCCATCATTGTCGTGAAGAAGCGACGGCGCAAGAACAGCTTGTTGGCAAGACTCTTCCTCTCGAAGCGGTCTTCCAACCTTGACCATGCGTCGCATGCACCACTTGCCGACCGGACCAACGGTAGCTGGGAATCTTCCATGGCTAGACAGATCACTGCCATCGCCTTTCTTGACTTCCTCTTGTATGTCGCTTGGTCCAACTGAGTCTCGCACTGTTCCGCCTTGATCTCACCGCTGACGACCTCCCATAGGTCCCGTTCCTCCAGCACCATCTGCATCTTGAACTTCCAGGCGTGGAAGTTAGTTCCATCGAACTTGGAGATGCGGAGGGAGGAGGCGTCCATGGCAGCTAAGCTTGAATTGTTGGCGGTTTCAGAGTCTGACGAACTTGGGCTCATAACCTGATGAACTTTAGACTTCTTGGTCCGAGTGCAAAACGCAAAGTGAATATATATTTATAATAGGTACTTAGTTCGCAACTTTGAATACTACCTCTAAGCCTATTATTCGCAGTGACGTCACCCACTGACGTCACCCACTGACGTCATGCAATGACGTCATCCAGTGACGTCATTTCCTGACTTCGCCCTTACTGGTACATACCGGTACCCACTGGTATAGCGAAGCTTGGTCTTCCACTTGCTTCAACACTTGACGCAGCTTGACGAGGTGTCTTCTTCACAGCCGCTGTCTTTTCAACACAAGTCGGCGATGGAATCAAGCGACTCCGGCAAGTGGAAAGAAGCGTGTGACTCGGAGTTCGATTCGCTTCAGAGAAACAACACGTGGGAAATCGTGCCTCTTCCGAAAGGTAGCAAGGCCATCGGGTGCCGATGGGTTTTTCGTGTAAAGGAGAATCAAGATGGCGAAGTTGAACGTTTCAAGGCAAGACTTGTGGCCAAAGGATTCTCACAGAAATTCGGAGTTGACTATGAAGAAACTTTCGCACCGGTGGCCAAGTTCACATCGATTCGTGTGGTGCTCAGTATGGCCGCTAAGTACGGCCTAATGCTACATCAGATGGACGTCAAGACAGCGTTTCTTAACGGCTCCCTCAACGAAGACATCTACATGGACCAGCCGGACGGATACCTGGATGCAACACAGCCGGACTATGTGTGCAAGCTAAAGAGATCACTCTACGGCTTGAAGCAATCGCCTCGCATGTGGAACCAAACAATCGATGGGTTCATGATCAAGATGGGATTCAAGAAGTGCGAATCGGACCACTGCATCTACATCAAGCGAGACGACCAAGACATGATTCTCGTGGTGCTCTACGTCGATGATCTCATCCTGGCCAGCAGCAACAACGAACTTCTCAAGTCAACCAAGATGGCGCTGAGCAAACGCTTCGAAATGACGGATCTCGGTGAGCTCGATTACTTTCTCGGCATGGAGATCAAGAACGACCGTAAGACGGGAATGGTGACTGTACAACAAACCAAGTTTCTCAAGTCCGTGTTAACCAAGTTCGGAATGGATAACAGCAAGCCAGTGAAGACGCCTCAAGATCCCGGCCTGAAGCTAACCAAGAACATGTGTGAACAAGAATGCAAGCACGAAGACACCATGTGCAACGTGCCATATCGAAGTGCTGTCGGAGGCATCATGTATCTCATGGTCGCCACACGTCCGGATCTAGCTGCTGCAGTGGGATCATTATCCCAGTTCTCGTCCGACCCATGCCCGACTCACTGGCAAGCTTTGAAGCGTGTGCTGAGATACCTGCAAGCAACGCCCAATCATGGTCTTGAGTTTACACGTGAAGAAGGAAGCCGTATCTGCGGGTACACCGACGCAGACTGGGCCGGCGACATTGAGTCAAGACGAAGTACAAGCGGCTATGTGTTCATGATGAGCGGAGGATGCATCAGCTGGAAAAGCCAGAAACAACGGACGGTCGCGCTATCTTCAACAGAAGCAGAATACATGGCGCTTTCCGAAGCAACCAAAGAAGCAGTGTAGCTCAAAGTGCTTTTGGGGGAACTTGGTGAGATGACAAGTGACGAAGCGATCAAGATGTATGAAGACAACCAAGGATCAATCGCTCTCGCCAAGAACCCGGAGTTCCATAAGAGAACAAAACACATCGACATACGCTACCATTTTGTGCGTGAGAAGGTGGAATCAGGTGAAGTCGTTTTGGAGTATTGCCCGACTCAAGATATGCTGGCAGACATGATGACCAAGCCGATCGCCGCTGTACAATTTGAAAACATTCGCGATCGACTTGGGATCCAAGGTGCCGCAGCTAACGAGTCGAGAGGGAGTGTTGAAAAGACAGCGGCTGTGAAGAAGACACCTCGTCAAGCTGCGTCAAGTGTTGAAGCAAGTGGAAGACCAAGCTTCGCTATACCGGTGGGTACCGGTATGTACCAGTAAGGGCGAAGTCAGGAAATGACGTCATTGGATGACGTCAGTGGGTGACGTCACTGGATGACGTCAGTGGGTGACGTCACTGGATGACGTCAGTGGGTGACGTCACTGGATGACGTCACTGCGAATAATAGGCTTAGAGGTAGTATTCAAAGTTGCGAACTAAGTACCTATTATAAATATATATTCACTTTGCGTTTTGCACTCGGACCAAGAAGTCTAAAGTTCATCAAGGACATCGTGCTTGGGCTCATAACCTGTTGAATGGTGAAAAGCTTGACGACCGAAACTGGGAGTGATGCTGGGAGTCTACTCGGAAGACCGGATAAGACACTTGGGGGGTAGATGGAAGATTGGAAAGTGATTGATTATCGGGGCTTACTACTTACTACATGATTTATATGTGGTGCACATATAAATCATGTGAAGCGTCTCATCATCCTACGCGTCTAATCAACTATGGTAATTACCGTAAGAACTACGTCGTAAATACTAAGCTGAACAGGCGGTTCGGATTGGACCGGTCACGGTTACCAATACTGGTAGAAACCGATGACCGTCAACACTTACAGAATTGCGTCTGTACCATGGTGATATATTTCCGGATGTAGTCTTCACTCTCGGACTTCACTCGTAGACAAAAGCCCTTCATGCATCCACTGGCTTCGTCGATGATCAGCAGCAAATATTTGCTGCCACCGAGCGAATCCTTTTCCATGGGCCCGCAGATGTCCAGATGAAGTAGCTCAAACGTATCGTAGCTGCGCTTGTCTCGGTTACTTGGAAATGGTTTTTGGACCATTTTCCCTTGTTGACATCCTCGACATGTAGTTGCTCCACCCGACTTGAGAGGGACTCGCACATCCTTGATCATGTTGGTCGCGATCATCTTGCGAAGTACATCGACTGGAGCATGACCCATTCTCGCATGTAGATCGGCACAACTGGTTCCACTTGTTGTCACATTCGCTGATCGTTGAGTCGTCCGAAGCCAGTAGAGTCCATCCACGAGATCCGCTGTCGCCACCACTTGCTGTGAGTTCTTGAGAGTCACATACATCTTGGACCCGTCAAACACGACTTGAAACTTGCCATGGCTGTTAATCTGTGGCACCGAGAGCAGGTTCTTGCTCATACTTGGAACATATAGCGCGTTCTTGATTTCGATCTCACGCTCTTCACCGTTGGGCAGAACCACCTTTTCCATGATGGTTCCCACACCCTTGATGGCCACCTTGTTGCCATCAGCCATCAAGAGTTCGCCCTCATTGCGCTCTGCCAAACTTGCGAACTTGGTCTTGTCGTGGCAAATGTGGTGCGTTGCACCACTGTCGACGGCCCACATTCCAGACACGTCCTTGCTCGTCGAAACTCCACATTCGAACGAGACTGCAAACGCCACTCGATCGTAGCCATTGTATTCATCATGATGTCCCCACTGGACATTGTTAGCCCCGCGTCCACGACCATTGCCGCCGCGTCGGGCTCCCCGACCTTCGTTCTTCTGCTTTGTCCAGCAACGATCCACCGTGTGTCCCACCTTGCCACAATACGTGCATTGGTAGGGCTCACGCTCGGCGCTGAATGCCTTGCTTGCATCTTCAGCCTTCACCGTAGTCGCTGTCGTTGTCCCTTTTTCTCCTTGACGCTTGGCATGCTCATTCGTCAGGACTCTCACCACATCTTGAGTGCGAAGCTCGGTGCTGCTCATTTCCATGTTGAGCACCACATTTTCGTAGCTCTTCGGAAGACTGAGTAGCAGACAAATTGCAACGTCTTCGTCTTCCATCTTCGCACCGATGCCGCTAAGCTTGGCGGAGATGTTGAGGACCTCGTTGCAGTGATGCATGACGTTCGCGCCTTCAGCCATCTTGATACTGAAAAGTTGTCGCTTGAGGTAGATGCGTCCTGCCTTCTGCGACCCACCGTACAGCGTCTTCAGACTTGTCCACGCAACCCAGGCTTCCTCGCAGTTGTCCAGCACATGATGGTAGTCCGCGTTCATGTGCAGCAGCATCATACCAAACGCGACGTTGCTTGCCTTGACGTAGTCATCGGACGCTCGCGGGTCGGTGAAAGTCGGAGTCACTTCACGGTTGACAACGTGCCAGACGGACTTCGTCAAAAACACACCGCGCATGTACCGGCTCCACGTTGCGTAATTGTCTCCGTTGAACTTGTCAATGGAGGCGTTGCTGGTGGACGATATGGCGCTTGGGCTCATAACCTGTTGCATTGTAGATCGGAGCGAGGAAAGCGGAGCAAACGGAGCGGAGAGACCGAAGAGAGTAGAGCAGAAAACACTTGCCCAATAGTTGGAAGATTCGAAAGTGATTGATTATCGGGGCTTACTACTTACTACATGATTTATATGTGGTGTACATATAAATCATGTGAAGCGTCTCATCATCCTACGCGTCTAATCAACTATGGTAATTACCGTAAGAACTACGTCGTAAATACTAAGCTGAACAGGCGGTTCGGATTGGACCGGTCACGGTTACCAATACTGGTAGAAACCGATGACCGTCAACACGCCCCCTCAATCCGAACTCGCACGAATGCCGAGAGCCGTCGTCAAGTCCTTGTGACGAGGTCCCGAAAGTCCCTTGGTCATGATGTCCGCCATCATCACGGAAGTCTCGCAATACTCGAGCTGCACTTCCCCGCGCTTGACCTCATCACGGATGTGATGGTACTTGATGTCGATGTGCTTGGCGCGGCCATGATTCACCGGATTCTTCGTCATCTTGATGCACGACTGGTTGTCTTCACGGATGACGAGGTCCGGTCCTGGTTCGTTTGCGGCCGCCAAAATCTCGCATAGCAGGCGATGCACCCACTTGCCTTCCTGGATGGCCAGACTCAGTGCGATGTATTCCGCTTCACTCGTCGACAGCGACACACTTGACTGCTTCTTGCTTCCCCAACTCACAGGAGCACCCATCAGCATGAAAGTGTAACCCGAAGTCGACTTGCGATCAGCGTGGTCGCCGGCCCAGTCCGCGTCCGAGTAGCCACGAAAGTCGATCTTGTCGCTTGGCTGGAAGCGGAGTCCGTGCGACTTGGTCCCTTGCAAGTAACGAAAGATGCGCTTCACCGCCGTCCAATGTTCTTGCTGCGGATTCTCCATGAAGCGCGAGACGTACCCCACAGCATACGCAATGTCCGGGCGCGTCGCAGTCGTCAAGTGCATCAAAGCTCCCACAGCTTCACGAAACGGAACGTCGATCTTGGCCGCTTCGGTGCTTGCGACAAGCCGAGTGCTCAAGTCGACCGGACTTGCTGTGGCCTTGCACTCATCCATGCCGAAGCGCTTGAGGATGTCGTTGACATACCGTCGCTGGCACATCGTCACGCTGCCATCCGATTCGTCCACCAGTTCGATGCCCAGTACAAAAGTACACTTGCCACTGTCGGTCATCTCGAAACGCGTCTTGAGGTCGGCCTTCGTCTGCGCAATCAACTCGAGCGAGCTGCCGGTGACCAACACGTCATCCACGTAGACCAGCACGAGCACACAGTGACCGTCGACAACCTTGATGTAGAGACATGGGTCGAACGCCGACGCTTCGAAACCGATGGAGCATACGAACTCGTCGAAAGTCTCGTTCCACACACGTGAAGCTTGCTTGAGACCGTAGATCGCCTTCACCAACTCGAGACAGTCGAAGTCGCCATCCATCTCGACGCCTTCTGGTATCACGCAGTACACCTTCTCCTTCATCACTCCGTAGAGAAAGGCTGTCACCACATCGAGTTGGTCCAGTGGCCAGTCGAAATACTTGGTGATCGCGATCACCATACGCAGTGTCACGTACTTGACCACGGGCGAGAACGTCTCCGTGTAGTCGATGCCGTACTTCTGCTTGAAGCCCTTGGCAACGAGACGCGCCTTGTATTTCTCGACCGATCCATCCGCTTTGCGCTTGATCTTGAACACCCACTTGGTGCCGATCGCGCCTTGGCCTCTTGGCAGTTTTGCCGCACGGAAAACTCCACGAAGATGCATCGACTTGAGTTCCGCCTTCACAGCATTTCGCCAGTGAGTTTGATCAGGACCATTGATCGCGTCTTGAAAAGTCACAGGTTCTGCTAGGTCCGTTGCTTCCACTGCGTTTGCACTTGCACGCCAAAATGTTGGAGGCGTCGAGTCGTCATCTTGATCGTACACGCTTGCATCTTCTTCGTCATCAGACATCGTTTCTGGAGCACTTGATCGTCGTTTCTGGTGACGGTTGGAGACGTGTTCCGGCGCACTTGCTTGTTCCAACCCAGTTCGAGGGCGAGCTGACCGTGACATGCCGGGTCTTGCTTCACTCTTGCGCTTGCCAGTCTGCTTGTAGACGGTTTGACGCACGTCGTCCTCGTTGATCGCCAGGAGGTCGAGGTCCAACTCCGCATCTTCATCATCGTCACTTGGTCGGTCCATCGAAAAGTCAAAAGTCGATTCGTCGAAGGTGATGTCACGACTGATCACCACTTGGCCCGCCTCAATGTCGTACACTCGATAAGCTTTTGACGCTTCTTCGTAGCCCATGAACATCCCTTCACAAGCCTTCGGGTCCCACTTCAATCGCTTCTCCCTTGGTGTCAGGATAAACGCCCGACATCCAAACACGCGCATGTGCTTGACACTTGGTTTCGACTTGTACACGATCTCGAACGGAGTCTTGTGGTCGATCTTGGGTGAAGGCAGGCGGTTCTTGATGTAGATCGCCGTCATTGCCGCTTCAGCCCAGAAACACTTCTCCAGCTTTGCATGATGCAACAAGCTGCGTCCGATCGTGACGATGGTCCTTATCGCGCGTTCTGCGGTGCCGTTGGTCTGGTGTGCATACGGCACCGTGATCTGTTGTTCAATACCATGATCTTCGTAGAAGGTCTTGATGGAGTTGGTCGCAAAGTCATGCGCTCCATCGTGCCGAACAAACTTGATCTTCGTGCCGAACTGAGTTTGAATCTTGATAATGTGGTTCTTGATACAGTCTTCACTCTCAGACTTGGACCGCAGACAGAAGCCCTTCATGCAACCGCTGGCTTCGTCAACCACAAGCAGTAAGCATCTGCTGCCGCCGATCGAGACTTGTTCCATTGGCCCGCAGATGTCGAAGTGCAGCAACTCGAACACACCATATTGGCGTTTGTCACGGTTGGTTGGGAATGGTTTTTGAACCATCTTTCCTTGCTGGCAACCGCGACACACACTTGGACCAGTCGAGTTGAGAGGTGCCTTGGCGTCCTTGATCATGCCAGTGGCCACCATCTTGCGCAGAACTTCGAGGGGTGCATGACCCATGCGCGCATGCAAGTCGATGGTCCCATTGCGTGTTGCTGCATTTGCCGATCGTTGAGGAGTCCGCAGCCAGTAAAGTCCATCGACGAGATCCGCTGTTGCCACGACTTGTGTGGAATTCTTGCGCTTCACTTGCATCTTGGATCCATCGAACACGACTTGGAACCTGCCACCCTTGTTGATCTGTGGCACCGAAAGCATATTCTTGCTCATACTTGGTACGAACAGTGCGTCCTTGATCTCGATGTCAAGTTCGTCACCATTGGGCAGAACCACCCGTTCCATGATGGTTCCCACACCCTTGATCGCAGCCTTGCTGCCATCAGCCACTGATAGTTCGCCTTCCTCTCGCTCATTCAGGCTTGTAAACTTGGCCTTGTCGTTGCAGATGTGATGCGTCGCACCGCTGTCGACTGCCCACATCCCTGGCATATTCTTGCCCGTCGAAAGTCCAGCCTCCAGCGAAACCGCGAACGCAACTCGATCGTAGTTGTCATCGTAGTTGCTGTTGGTTCGCCACTGAACGTTGTTGGCTCCGCGTCCACGAGCATTGTTGCCGCCGCGTCGAGCTCCACCTTGATTTTCGTCCTTCTGCTTGGTCCAGCACCGCTCCGCCGTGTGCCCCAATTTTCCGCAGTATGTACACTGGCGAGGTTCACGCTTGGCACTGAACGCCTTCGCCGCGTCTTCAGTCTTCACCGATGTCGTCTTGTCACCTTGTCTCTTGATGTTCTCATTCGTGAGCACTCTCACGACGTCTCGCGATCGCAGTTCCGCGCTGCTCATCTCCAAGTTGAGAACGACGTTCTCGTAGCTCTTGGGGAGGCTGCGCAACAAGCAGATCGCCACGTCCTCGTCCTCCATCTTGGCGCCGATGCTGCTGAGCTTCGCGCTGATGTTGAGGACTTCGTTGCAATGATGCATCACATTGCCGCCTTCCGCCATCTCCATGCTGAACAGCTGGCGCTTCAAGTAGATGCGTCCAGCCTTCTGCGACCCGCCGTACAGCGTCTTCAAACGAGCCCACGCGACCCACGCCTCTTCACAGTCATCAACCACGTGATGATAATCCGCGCTCATGTGCAGCAGCATCAAGCCGAACGCAATGTTGTTCGTCTTGATGTAGTCGTCACTGGCGCGAGGATCGGCGAAGGTGGGGGGTGGTCTCCCGGTTCACCACGTGCCACGCCGACTTGGTCAGGAACACGCCACGCATGTAGCGGCTCCACGTCGCGTAGTTGTCGCCGTCGAACTTGTCGATGGAGATCTTGGTGGTGGCATCATGAGCAGAGGACATCGTGCTTGGGCTCATAACCTGTTGAATGGTGAAAAGCTTGACGACCGAAACTGGGAGTGATGCTGGGAGTCTACTCGGAAGACCGGAGAAGACACTTGGGGGGTAGATGGAAGATTGGAAAGTGATTGATTATCGGGGCTTACTACTTACTACATGATTTATATGTGGTGCACATATAAATCATGTGAAGCGTCTCATCATCCTACGCGTCTAATCAACTATGGTAATTACCGTAAGAACTACGTCGTAAATACTAAGCTGAACAGGCGGTTCGGATTGGACCGGTCACGGTTACCAATACTGGTAGAAACCGATGACCGTCAACACTTACAGAATTGCGTCTGTACCATGGTGATATATTTCCGGATGTAGTCTTCACTCTCGGACTTCACTCGTAGACAAAAGCCCTTCATGCATCCACTGGCTTCGTCGATGATCAGCAGCAAATATTTGCTGCCACCGAGCGAATCCTTTTCCATGGGCCCGCAGATGTCCAGATGAAGTAGCTCAAACGTATCGTAGCTGCGCTTGTCTCGGTTACTTGGAAATGGTTTTTGGACCATTTTCCCTTGTTGACATCCTCGACATGTGAGTTGCTCCACCCGACTTGAGAGGGACTCGCACATCCTTGATCATGTTGGTCGCGATCATCTTGCGAAGTACATCGACTGGAGCATGACCCATTCTCGCATGTAGATCGGCACAACTGGGTTCCACTTGTTGTCACATTCGCTGATCGTTGAGTCGTCCGAAGCCAGTAGAGTCCATCCACGAGATCCGCTGTCGCCACCACTTGCTGTGAGTTCTTGAGAGTCACATACATCTTGGACCCGTCAAACACGACTTGAAACTTGCCATGGCTGTTAATCTGTGGCACCGAGAGCAGGTTCTTGCTCATACTTGGAACATATAGCGCGTTCTTGATTTCGATCTCACGCTCTTCACCGTTGGGCAGAACCACCTTTTCCATGATGGTTCCCACACCCTTGATGGCCACCTTGTTGCCATCAGCCATCAAGTTCGCCCTCATTGCGCTCTGCCAAACTTGCGAACTTGGTCTTGTCGTGGCAAATGTGGTGCGTTGCACCACTGTCGACGGCCCACATTCCAGACACGTCCTTGCTCGTCGAAACTCCACATTCGAACGAGACTGCAAACGCCACTCGATCGTAGCCATTGTATTCATCATGATGTCCCCACTGGACATTGTTAGCCCGCGTCCACACCACTTGCCGCCGCGTCGGCCTCCCCGACCTTCGTTCTTCTGCTTTGTCCAGCAACGATCCACCGTGTGTCCCACCTTGCCACAATACGTGCATTGGTAGGGCTCACGCTCGGCGCTGAATGCCTTGCTTGCATCTTCAGCCTTCACCGTAGTCGCTGTCGTTGTCCCTTTTTCTCCTTGACGCTTGGCATGCTCATTCGTCAGGACTCTCACCACATCTTGAGTGCGAAGCTCGGTGCTGCTCATTTCCATGTTGAGCACCACATTTTCGTAGCTCTTCGGAAGACTGAGTAGCAGACAAATTGCAACGTCTTCGTCTTCCATCTTCGCACCGATGCCGCTAAGCTTGGCGGAGATGTTGAGGACCTCGTTGCAGTGATGCATGACGTTCGCGCCTTCAGCCATCTTGATACTGAAAAGTTGTCGCTTGAGGTAGATGCGTCCTGCCTTCTGCGACCCACCGTACAGCGTCTTCAGACTTGTCCACGCAACCCAGGCTTCCTCGCAGTTGTCCAGCACATGATGGTAGTCCGCGTTCATGTGCAGCAGCATCATACCAAACGCGACGTTGCTTGCCTTGACGTAGTCATCGGACGCTCGCGGGTCGGTGAAAGTCGGAGTCACTTCACGGTTGACAACGTGCCAGACGGACTTCGTCAAAAACACACCGCGCATGTACCGGCTCCACGTTGCGTAATTGTCTCCGTTGAACTTGTCAATGGAGGCGTTGCTGGTGGACGACATGGCGCTTGGGCTCATAACCTGTTGCATTGTAGATCGGAGCGAGGAAAGCGGAGCAAACGGAGCGGAGAGACCGAAGAGAAGTAGAGCAGAAAACACTTGCCCAATAGTTGGAAGATTCGAAAGTGATTGATTATCGGGGCTTACTACTTACTACATGATTTATATGTGGTGTACATATAAATCATGTGAAGCGTCTCATCATCCTACGCGTCTAATCAACTATGGTAATTACCGTAAGAACTACGTCGTAAATACCAAGCTGAACAGGCGGTTCGGATTGGACCGGTCACGGTTACCAATACTGGTAGAAAACCGATGACCGTCAACACGGTCTTTTCGCGTTCATTACGTGTTGACGGTCATCGGTTTTCTACCAGTATTGGTAACCGTGACCGGTCCAATCCGAACCGCCTGTTCAGCTTGGTATTTACGACGTAGTTCTTACGGTAATTACCATAGTTGATTAGACGCGTAGGATGATGAGACGCTTCACATGATTTATATGTACACCACATATAAATCATGTAGTAAGTAGTAAGCCCCGATAATCAATCACTTTCGAATCTTCCAACTATTGGGCAAGTGTTTTCTGCTCTACTCTCTTCGGTCTCTCCGCTCCGTTTGCTCCGCTTTCCTCGCTCCGATCTACAATGCAACAGGTTATGAGCCCAAGCGCCATGTCGTCCACCAGCAACGCCTCCATTGACAAGTTCAACGGAGACAATTACGCAACGTGGAGCCGGTACATGCGCGGTGTGTTTTTGACGAAGTCCGTCTGGCACGTTGTCAACCGTGAAGTGACCCGACTTTCACCGACCCGCGAGCGTCCGATGACTACGTCAAGGCAAGCAACGTCGCGTTTGGTATGATGCTGCTGCACATGAACGCGGACTACCATCATGTGCTGGACAACTGCGAGGAAGCCTGGGTTGCGTGGACAAGTCTGAAGACGCTGTACGGTGGGTCGCAGAAGGCAGGACGCATCTACCTCAAGCGACAACTTTTCAGTATCAAGATGGCTGAAGGCGCGAACGTCATGCATCACTGCAACGAGGTCCTCAACATCTCCGCCAAGCTTAGCGGCATCGGTGCGAAGATGGAAGACGAAGACGTTGCAATTTGTCTGCTACTCAGTCTTCCGAAGAGCTACGAAAATGTGGTGCTCAACATGGAAATGAGCAGCACCGAGCTTCGCACTCAAGATGTGGTGAGAGTCCTGACGAATGAGCATGCCAAGCGTCAAGGAGAAAAAGGGACAACGACAGCGACTACGGTGAAGGCTGAAGATGCAAGCAAGGCATTCAGCGCCGAGCGTGAGCCCTACCAATGCACGTATTGTGGCAAGGTGGGACACACGGTGGATCGTTGCTGGACAAAGCAGAAGAACGAAGGTCGGGGAGCCCGACGCGGCGGCAATGGTCGTGGACGCGGGGCTAACAATGTCCAGTGGGGACATCATGATGAAGGCAATGGCTACGATCGAGTGGCGTTTGCAGTCTCGTTCGAATGTGGAGTTTCGACGAGCAAGGACGTGTCTGGAATGTGGGCCGTCGACAGTGGTGCAACGCACCACATTTGCCACGACAAGACCAAGTTCGCAAGTTTGGCAGAGCGCAATGAGGGCGAACTTGGTGGCTGATGGCAACAAGGTGGCCATCAAGGGTGTGGGAACCATCATGGAAAAGGTGGTTCTGCCCAACGGTGAAGAGCGTGAGATCGAAATCAAGAACGCGCTATATGTTCCAAGTATGAGCAAGAACCTGCTCTCGGTGCCACAGATTAACAGCCATGGCAAGTTTCAAGTCGTGTTTGATGGGTCCAAGATGTATGTGACTCTCAAGAACTCACAGCAAGTGGTGGCGACAGCGGATCTCGTGGATGGACTCTACTGGCTTCGGACGACTCAACGATCAGCGAATGTGACAACAAGTGGAACCAGTTGTGCCGATCTACATGCGAGAATGGGTCATGCTCCAGTCGATGTACTTCGCAAGATGATCGCGACCAACATGATCAAGGATGTGCGAGTCCCTCTCAAGTCGGGTGGAGCAACTACATGTCGAGGATGTCAACAAGGGAAAATGGTCCAAAAACCATTTCCAAGCAACCGAGACAAGCGCAGCTACGATACGTTTGAGCTACTTCATCTGGACATCTGCGGGCCCATGGAAAAGGATTCGCTCGGTGGCAGCAAATATTTGCTGCTGATCATCGACGAAGCCAGTGGATGCATGAAGGGCTTTTGTCTACGAGTGAAGTCCGAGAGTGAAGACTACATCCGGAAATATATCACCATGGTACAGACGCAATTCTGTAAGAAGGTCAAGTTCGTGCGACACGACGGAGCTCGCGAGTTTGCAACCAACTCGCTTCAACTGTTCTACGAAGACGAAGGCATTGAACAGCAGACAACGGTGCCGTATGCACATCAAACAAACGGAACAGCAGAGCGTGCCATTAGGACTATTGTCACGATCGGCCGCAGCATGCTTCATCATGCCAAACTGGACAAGTGTTTCTGGGCCGAAGCAGCGATGACGGCCATCTACGTCAAGAATCGACTGCCGTCACCTAAAGTCGTGCACAAGACCCCGTTTGAGATCGTCTACAACTTGAAACCAAGCGTCAAGCACATGCGAACATTCGGGTGTCAGACATACATACTGACGCCTAAAGAGAATCGACTCAAGTGGGATCCAAAGGCTCGCGCTGGCATATTCGTGGGCTACGAAGAAGTTTCGAAGGCATATCGTGTTTATGACATCGAGGCGGGGCAGGTGGTTATCAGCCGCGATGTCAACTTCGACGAGTCCACCTTTGGACTTCAACTGCCGATCACTGATGAAGATGTCGATGACCTGGACTTCGAATTGCTGGATCTTGATGACGAAGAGCTGCGTCAAATGGAGTACAAGCAAAGAGGCAAGCGCAAGAACCGACTCAATGATGAAGATACAGCAGCTCCACGACCGCGTGCAGTGCGTCAACGACCAGGACTAGAAGAGTCAAGCGCGCCGGAAAACAACTCGTCACGACAAGAAGAAGACGAAGAAACGAAGGATTCTGGTGATTCAACACCGCCTGTGTTTTGGCGTGCGAGTGCAAATGCCGTTGAAGCAGCAGTGGACTTATCAGAACCCTCAACATTTGAAGCAGCAGTAAGCGGCCCTGACCAAGTGCACTGGAGAAAAGCAATTCATGCAGAGCTCGAGTCAATGCGACTTCGCGGTGTGTTTCGTGCAGCCAAGCTGCCCAACGGACAACGCGCCATTGGCACAAAATGGGTGTTCAAGATCAAGCGCAAGGCGGATGGGTCGATCGAGAAGTACAAGGCAAGTCTCGTGGCAAAGGGCTTTCTCCAGAAGTATAGAATCGACTACACCGAGACGTTTTCGCCCGTGGTCAAGTATGTGACGCTGCGAATGGTGATCGCAATTTCCAAGCATTTTGGATGGCCCATCGACCAGCTTGATGTGGTGACAGCTTTCCTGTATGGCGTCATGAAGGAACAAGTGTTCTGCGTGATTCCTGAAGGCGTCGAACTTGACAGTACGTTCGACTGCCTGGAATTGGTGAAGTCAATTTACGGCCTCAAGCAAGCGTCGCGAGTGTGGAACGAGACGTTCGACGAGTATGTGTGCTCCATCGGATTTCAAGTATCGGACTTCGACCCATGTCTCTACATCAAGACTTCGGACGGCCATTGCGTGTTTATACTGGTCTACGTGGACGACGTCTTGGTGACTGGAAGCTCGCTCGAGCTGATTGCACAAACCAAGAACGACCTGAAGACGCGGTTCGAAATGACGGACAGCGGCAAGTGTGCGTTTGTTCTTGGGATCGAGCTTTTGGACGGTGAAGATGGCAGTGTGACACTATGTCAGCGTCGGTATGTCGATGATATCCTCAAGCGCTTTGGCATGGATGATTGCAAGGCAGTCGCAAGTCCAGTCGACATGAGCTCTCGACTTGTTTCAAGTGATGCAACTACCAAGGTCGATGCTCCTTTTCGCGAAGCTGTTGGTGCGTTGATGCACCTGACCACTGCAACGCGTCCGGACATTGCGTTTGCTGTGGGCTATGTGTCGCGGTTCATGGAAAATCTGATGAACGTTAGACTTCTTGGTCCGAGTGCAAAACGCAAAGTGAATATATATTTATAATAGGTACTTAGTTCGCAACTTTGAATACTACCTCTAAGCCTATTATTCGCAGTGACGTCATGCAATGACGTCATTTCCTGACTTCGCCCTTACTGGTACATACCGGTACCCACCGGTATAGCGAAGCTTGGTCTTCCACTTGATTCAGCACTTGACGCAGCTTGACGAGGTGTCTTCTTCACAGCCGCTGTCTTTTCAACACTCCCTCCTCTTTTTTCGCGGCGCCCTTTGGATCCCAAGTCGACTCGTTAGCTGCGGCACCTTGGATCCCAAGTCGATCGCGAATGTTTTCAAATTGTACAGCGGCGATCGGCTTGTTCGTCATGTCTGCCAGCATATCTTGAGTCGAGCAATACTCCAAAACGACTTCACCTGATTCCACCTTCTCACGCACAAAATGGTAGCGTATGTCGATGTGTTTTGTTCTCTTATGGAACTCCGGGTTCTTGGCGAGAGCGATTGATCCTTGGTTGTCTTCATACATCTTGATCGCTTCGTCGCTTGTCATCTCACCAAGTTCACCCAAAAGCACCTTGAGCTACACTGCTTCTTTGGTTGCTTCGGAAAGCGCCATGTATTCTGCTTCTGTTGAAGATAGCGCGACCGTCCGTTGTTTCTGGCTTTTCCAGCTGATGCATCCTCCGTTCATCATGAACACATAGCCGCTTGTACTTCGTCTTGACTCAATGTCGCCGGCCCAGTCTGCGTCGGTGTACCCGCAGATACGGCTTCCTTCTTCACGTGTAAACTCAAGACCATGATTAGGCGTTGCTTGCAGGTATCTCAGCACACGCTTCAAAGCTTGCCAGTGAGTCGGGCATGGGTCGGACGAGAACTGGGATAATGATCCCACTGCAGCAGCTAGATCCGGACGTGTGGCGACCATGAGATACATGATGCCTCCGACAGCACTTCGATATGGCACGTTGCACATGGCGTCTTCGTGCTTGCATTCTTGTTCACACATGTTCTTGGTTAGCTTCAGGCCGGGATCTTGAGGCGTCTTCACTGGCTTGCTGTTATCCATTCCGAACTTGGTCAACACGGACTTGAGAAACTTGGTTTGTTGCACAGTCACCATTCCCGTCTTACGGTCGTTCTTGATCTCCATGCCGAGAAAGTAATCGAGCTCACCGAGATCCGTCATTTCGAAGCGTTTGCTTCGCGCCATCTTGGTCGACTTGAGGAGTTCGTTGTTGCTGCTGGCCAGGATGAGATCATCGACGTAGAGCACCACGAGAATCACGTCTTGGTCGTCTCGCTTGATGTAAATGCAGTGGTCCGATTCGCACTTCTTGAATCCCATCTTGATCATGAACCCATCGATTGTTTGGTTCCACATGCGAGGCGATTGCTTCAAGCCGTAGAGTGATCTCTTTAGCTTGCACACATAGTCCGGCTGTGTTGCATCCAGGTATCCGTCCGGCTGGTCCATGTAGATGTCTTCGTTGAGGGAGCCGTTAAGAAACGCTGTCTTGACGTCCATCTGATGTAGCATTAGGCCGTACTTGGCCGCCATACTGAGCACCACACGAATCGATGTGAACTTGGCCACCGGTGCGAAAGTTTCTTCATAGTCAACTCCGAATTTCTGTGAGAATCCTTTGGCCACAAGTCTTGCCTTGAAACGTTCAACTTCGCCATCTTGATTCTCCTTTACACGAAAAACCCATCGGCACCCGATGGCCTTGCGACCTTTCGGAAGAGGCACGATTTCCCACGTGTCGTTTCTCTGAAGCGAGTCGAACTCCGAGTCACACGCTTCTTTCCACTTGCCGGAGTCGCTTGATTCCATCGCCGACTTGAATGTAGTCGGCGTATCCCCCACTGAATCAACGATGTAGGCTGCTTCAAAATCCATTGCAGCCGCTGACACATGCTCAAGCGACGGACCTCTGTACGTTCTTCGCTTGGGACTTGGAATGACGGTAGCTTTCTCAAGTGATTGAGTGCGCGTGTGTCTCTTGATGTTGCTCTTCGAAGACCTGGTGTCTTCGTTGTCATCGTCGCTCGAATCCATGTCGTCGTCAGTTTTACCTTCTTCTTTTTCTTCGTCCTCGTCTTGATCATCAAACTCAACGGCACTTGACTCATCGTTGTAGTTGCGCGGACCTTCATCAAACTTGTCTTCCATGAATGTGGCATCGCGACTGATCTTGATCGCTCCTGTTGACACTTCCTCAAATCGATATGACTTCTGGTGTTCGGCGTATCCCAGGAAACGACAGAGTGATGACTTGGAGTCGAACTTCGCGCGTTTGTCTTGAGGCACTTGAACATACGCGTGGCATCCAAACACTTTAAGGTTGGCCAGAATCGGTTTCTTCATCGTCCACACTTGATATGGAGACTTGTCTTGGTGAATGGCACGTGTTGGACAGCGGTTTCGAAGAAACATCGCCGTCATCACTGCTTCACCCCAGTAGCTCTTTCCCAGTCCAGCGTGTTCCATCATGCAACGCGCACACTCGACCAGCGTGCGATTCATTCTCTCAGCTACTCCGTTTAGCTGAGGAGTATATGGGGGTGTGAACCTTTGTTGTATTCCCCGTTCCGCGCAGAATCGTGCCAGCTTGTCGGACTTGTATTCACCCCCATTGTCGCTTTGAAGGTACTTCACGCGCTTTCCGGTTTGCGTTTCGGCCATCGCAGCGTATTCCATGAACTTCGCCGCAACTTCAGATTTGCTCTTGAGCAGATAGACGACACAGTATCTTGACTTGTCATCGATGAATGTCACGAAGTACCGTTTTCCACTGAAAGTTGCCATCGACATCGGTCCGCATACGTCGCTGTGAATCACTTCGAGGAGTTTGGAGGTGCGAGCTGTAGTGTTTGATTGGAAGCGCACTCGAGTCTGTTTTCCCAGAGCACAACCTTCACACACGTCCCACTTCTTCACCGAAGATATGTCGATGCCAATTCCAATGTTCTTCGTCACGATGCAATTGAGTCCATCGTGACCTATGTGGCCAAGCCGAAGGTGCCAGAGGTACGACTTGGTGCCCCCTTGACATCCCGACGACTTGGCTGCATTTGCTTGTTCCGGCGCCACTGGAGTCATTTGCAGCTTGAACAGTCCTTTACCTTCACGGGCACCAATTTTCCACTTGGTCCCTTTCGCTTCTCCATAGCACCCATCCTTCGTGAACGTCACTGGGCCGACATCCTTGGTGAAGCGGCCGACCGAGAACAGGTTTCTGGATAACTTTGGGATGTGCCACACGTTTGTGAGCACACCTTTCTTCATCCCTTGGGGTGTCTTCATCGACATGACAATGTCCCCACTGCCGATTGCTTGGACGATTCCATCATCCGCGAGATGGACATCCACAGCGTCAAACCCCTTGTAGTTCCGCATGAACTTCTTGGAGCACGTCATGTGCTGCGTCGCCCCGGAGTCGACCAGCCAGATGTCGCTCGATTTCGCAGATGTCGTTTCACCGATCGAAAAGAGGTAGTCGCCCGAGTCTTCTTCTTGAGCGACGTTTGCACGTTGTGATCGATAGCGGTCGCCGCTGTCTTGAGCACGCTGTGGCCGGTGTCTCTCCGTGTTTTCTTGGATGCGCGAGGGGCACTCCGCCATCCAGTGACCAATCTTTCCGCAATTGTGGCACGGCCAGGACTTCTTCACTGGTCGCCCTTTGCGCTGATTGTCCCTTGTGATGAACGCTTGACCTTGCGAAGCTTCATCACCTTTACTTCCTTGCTCCCTCCGCTTCATTTCTTCATGAAGCAGTCGAGACGTCACGAGCTCCCAGCTAAGAGTGTCTGAGCGCGACTCCAAAGCTGTGATCAAGAATTGATACGAGTCACTCAGGCTGCCGAGAAGTGTGATCACCAGATCGTCCTCGCAGACTGGAGCCCCCACCGCTTCTAGCTGTTCCGCCAGCGTCTTGAGCTTGTTGATGTGTTCGAGCACATCGTCGCCTTCTTCCATCATTGTCGTGAAGAAGCGACGGCGCAAGAACAGCTTGTTGGCAAGACTCTTCTTCTCGAAGTGGTCTTCCAACCTTGACCATGCGTCGCATGCACCACTTGCCGACCGGACCAACGGTAGCTGGGAATCTTCCATGGCTAGACAGATCACTGCCATCGCCTTTCTTGACTTCCTCTTGTACGTCGCTTGGTCCAACTGAGTCTCGCACTGTTCCGCCTTGATCTCACCGCTGACGACCTCCCATAGGTCCCGTTCCTCCAGCACCATCTGCATCTTGAACTTCCAGGCGTGGAAGTTAGTTCCATCGAACTTGGAGATGCGGAGGGAGGAGGCGTTCATGGCAGCTAAGCTTGAATTGTTGGCGGTTTCAGAGTCTGACGAACTTGGGCTCATAACCTGATGAACGTTAGACTTCTTGGTCCGAGTGCAAAACGCAAAGTGAATATATATTTATAATAGGTACTTAGTTCGCAACTTTGAATACTACCTCTAAGCCTATTATTCGCAGTGACGTCATCCACCCCCCCCTCTTCGGTGGTTACTCACTGGTTTCATGACGTCATTTCCTGACTTCGCCCTTACTGGTACATACCGGTACCCACCGGTATAGCGAAGCTTGGTCTTCCACTTGATTCAGCACTTGACGCAGCTTGACGAGGTGTCTTCTTCACAGCCGCTGTCTTTTCAACAAAATCCCCAAGAAGAACACTGGGTTGCAGTTAAGCGTATCTTTCGCTACCTACAAGGCACCAAGACGCATGGAATTTGCTACAAGCCAAGTGCAAGGATCGACTTCCGTGGATATTCGGATGCGGATTGGGCTGGTGATCTTACCGACCGCAAGTCAACATCGGGGTACACGTTGATGCTACTCGGTGCGCCAGTCAGTTGGGGCAGCAAGAAGCAGCCAAGTGTTTCGTTGTCCACGAGTGAAGCCGAATACATCGCACTCAGCTTGGCGATTCAAGAGGGCAAGTGGATTCATCGTCTGCTTTGTGAGATCGTGATGGCTGCCAATGAAGAAGGACCGGAACTCATGATTCATGAAGACAATCAGTCGTGTATCAAGATGACGAAGAACCCAGTCAACCACGGCCGTGCCAAGCACATTGATATCAAGTACCATCACATCCGTGATGAGGTCAAGCGCGGTGAAGTGAAGCTCAAGTACTGTGAAACTGCGGTGATGTTAGCGGACATCATGACGAAGGGACTTCATGGACCACGCCACAAGGAGATGACGACGGCTCTCGGGATTCGTGAGCATTCGGATTGAGGGGGCGTGTTGACGGTCATCGGTTTTCTACCAGTATTGGTAACCGTGACCGGTCCAATCCGAACCGCCTGTTCAGCTTGGTATTTACGACGTAGTTCTTACGGTAATTACCATAGTTGATTAGACGCGTAGGATGATGAGACGCTTCACATGATTTATATGTACACCACATATAAATCATGTAGTAAGTAGTAAGCCCCGATAATCAATCACTTTCGAATCTTCCAACTATTGGGCAAGTGTTTTCTGCTCTACTCTCTTCGGTCTCTCCGCTCCGTTTGCTCCGCTTTCC